ATTTTTTTAAATTTAATTTATATAAATTAATTTATAATTAATTTTTTTTTAAAAAAATGTCTATAACCATTTTAAAATGATTCTAGAATTTTAGAATTTTCAAATTTTTCAAATTTTACAAACCAACTTAAATAAATGTTATCTAATAAATTATATCTGTTTATTTTAAAATGGTAGAATTTATAATTTGAAAGAACAAATGAAAATTAGTGACATTTAAAAAAATTTAATATCTATATTTAGATTGTTCTAAAATTATATATTTTGAACTTCTCACAATGCTAAAGTCAAATAATAAACTTAACCCTTCATTGGACAGATTAAAAAATACCAGAATTTTAAATATTTTTAACATATAATATCTAAACTATAATTTAGTTTAACAGATATTTTAAATGTTGAGCTACTAAAAATTTTTACAAATAATAAATTTACGCAACTGATAGAGATCATCTTAACCCCCTTAAACCTAAAATTATACCTAGAATTTAGACTCACTTTGTAAAAGATTTACATGAAAAAATTATAAATTTGAGAAGCGAATCAAAAATTATCCTTCCAATATTTTTATTTTTAACCCATTAGACCCGCCATATAAATTATTATACTTATTTAGGCTTCGGGTTGGCTTGCTGGTTTGTATATATTAAATTTTTTTAGGTCTCTATAATGCGGATACACTAATTTAAATAATTTTTACTGGAACCTCATATTCAATGACAAAGACTTGGTAATTGATAGCATCACTTAAGTGTATAGAAGAGATTCAAAGTAAATTTGATTAATTATTATATATATTTAGATATTATTATTTGTAAGCATATATTTTCGTTATTATTTTGAATCTAAAAAATAATAAAGAAAGATAATATAAGATCTTCTCCTCCGATCCACTCGATTATTCCCTATCCCTTGCGAGTCTTCCCTTCTGATCCCGTCGCTTTCTATCCCGTCTCTACGATTACTTTTCTACGATTCTGTCCCTACCGATCTCTTCCCGTTAATATTCTTCCGATCCACTTGGTCCCGATACCTTAATTTTCCAACTCTCCCATTCTTTGCTCTTTCCGTTCCATCATGTCTATTCCTGTTCTGTCCAGTTCGGTACCTTCTATAATCCTACTTTCAAGTGAAAAAATATAAAACATAGAGTAGGGTAAATATTTTAACGAGAAGTAGAATAGAAGAAAAGAAAAACAAAAAAAATAAGAGAAATAAAGAAAAGAAAAAAAATAAAAGAATGAAAATATAAGATATGATATGATAAGATATTTTCCTCTTGTCCAGTTAAGTACTTTCCATAACCCAACTTTCGAATGAAAAAAATAGAAAATATAAAGGATAAATATTTTAAATAGAAGTAGAATAGAAGAAAATAAAAAAAAAAATAAAGAAAAGAAAAAAAATAAAAAAATATAGAAAAAGAAAAAAAAGATATGATAAGAAAGAAATGAAAGAAAGAAAATATTAGATAAGATACGATAATAAGATATTATATATATGAAATTTATAGCATTGAAAATTTAAATAAGTTCCGAAACAATTTTTTTTAATGGCTCCTTAATATCCCCTTGAACTAAAATAAATTTTTGATTTTCCCCTGAACGATTTCTTTTATAATTCTATTAAGTAATGCATAGATTTAATTTTATTATTTAAAAACTTAAATTATATTTTAACTGTGTCAGTTTGCAATCAAATTCTGTGTTAAAAATAGAATATCAATATCACTCACTAAATATTAATTTAGCATTAACAGTTGAAGCTTAATTAACTTTTATTATTTAAATTATTAGATAAGCCTAATTAAATAAATATAATCATTTATTAATTGAAAGTTAACAAATTTAATACTGTAATTAGCCGAGTTCAAAATCACTAATCAATTATATTATTCATTTTTAAATTTAATTTCTATGCCTCTTCCTAAAAATATTTTCAAGGTCCAAAAAGTAGACATAGAGTTTATAATCCTCTATTATATAGTTATAAAATATTAGGCAAAATGCCACTTTTACAAACGTATTTAACAGTTACAGCTAATATTTAAATAAATTTTACCAATAAATGCTTTTGATAATAAATATAAGTAAGAATTTGCATACAATTCTTTAATGCCATCTATTTATTTAAAATATTATTAGAAATTTAACAACTTATTATTCATTTCACAATGGATGTACTAAATTAGATATCTTTTTTTTCTTTTTTTACGTGTTTTTTTTTTCGTTGAAAAACAGTTTTGAGTTAAATTTTTAATACAAGTATATTTTTAATATACTACAAACTTCTATTTTTTAAGATATAATATACCAACTAGAGGTGGTGCGACATATAAAATTTTTTAATTGTTTTCATCACATCACTCTGGTCCTTATTTTCTAGTTACTAAATGATTCATTTCGGACATGGCATCTTCACTGTGTAAAACTTATGGCTTCAATGTATTTGCGTAATTATTTCTTCTAAAGATTTTTATTGTTTTCGTTTTATTAATTTATCTAACATAATAAATTCTGAGTTACATCATGAGTGACATGCTATGACTACAAATTAACCAGTATCTATTATTTGTGTGGCTATGTAATTCAAAGTTATTACAATAGCTGCTGATAGCATATTTTAGACAAGCAATAATGGTCAACTCTGTAGTAGTGTTGTTAAACGGCACATTTTGAGCCGATTTTTAAAAACGGCTAACTCAATATTTTAGCCTGAAGAATATAGCGTAAGCCATGAGATTCGCTATTAGATGTCCAAACCTTTGTTCCTTCTACAAACAAAATCTTCAGGTTTGAGTTATATTATTCTGGATGAAATAGTGAGTTAGCGGTACTTAAAAATCGGCTCAAAACGAGCCGTTTAACAACACTACTGTGTAGTCGTTTGTATATCATTAAAAATGAAAGATAATCTTTTAGAAATTTAATATCTCACAACAATTTTCTCGGTTTATTTAGCTTCCATCATGTCATCTAAAAGGAAACTCTAACCACCATATAGTTTTATGATTTGTATTGGTCGTTTATATTTTTTTCTTCAAGAATTGTTCATTTGGTTAGGCCTGTTATTAGATCATTCTATAAAACATTATCTAAAATGGTAACAGAAAGTTATATTAGTTTCATGATTTTTGTCATTGAAGTTGATAAGAATTATATTGCCTTATGTGGTTTTTGAAAACCATTATCAATTAAGGCATATGTATGAATTAAAACCTTTTTTATTACTTGTAATTCTTTAGACGCAAAATTTTTTTTATATCAGCAATCAAAAATATTTTATACTGTAATAAATAGATTTTGTATTAAAAAAAAATGTCTTGTATTGTTTTAATTATTTATGTTAGTTTATTTTGTATGCATAATAAATAAATGACAAAATATGAAATTCAGAATATAGAGTTAGCAAATTTTAAAAAGTATAATATATTAATATAAAATCCGGCCGAGTCCCGCAAATTGAGGTGGGGGGGGGGGAAGGTATGGGAAATGAAGTCCCATTTTTTAGTTGAGCGCCCTAAGATTGTAAAAGCTAGCGACGTCCTTGATATAAAGCTCATGAGAAAATTATTTTTTTTGATATTAACAGATTTTATTTTTAAACTTAATTGATAAAATAAAGAAATCTTCGCTTGATAAATTATATCCTTATGTTTAAATTGAGCTAAATCCCTACTAATTCCTCTCAATACCGATGTCGAATATTCTATTTTAGACATGACTTTTCCCCCTTTACAAATAAATATAAGTTAAGATTATTTTTTATTCAAGGATGGCACAGGTGTGTAAATTTATCCAGAGCGCTCTTTCAAAAGAATTCCACACACATTAATTAGGAAAATATACAGGTACATAGTATAGCTAAACTATCTTATATATTTCGGAAACAAAGCCCAGCAAGGAAACAGACGAAAGAAGTTTACAGACAATAGAGATGAGAATGTTAGGATAGCTGGGGTTTAAATAAGGATAGAACATGAAATACAAATATGATAGGGGGAGTATCCAATAAAACAAAGATTTATGAACAGTTAGGATATATGATAAAAACTATATAGGAAACAAGGTTACGTTTAGAAGTGATTGGTAAACGAAAAAGAAGATCAAAACTCCAATGGGCCCACAAGGTTTAAGCCAATGTGGTAAAAATAAAATAAAATGGATTCTATGAACATATAAAGTGGAAGGAGATATATTGAAGGAAATTACCATCCAAAAAAGTGAGAAGTTTTTATCTTAAAAATAAACAAGAGCAAATTTTTGATTAAAAGCTTTATATAACATGAGTCGTTTTAAAGTGGCTCTAAGCTGAACCAATCAAAACGGCCACGGCTAATTACCCGTTTTATCGACTAATTAGTAGACTAAGTAAGCCAATAAAAAATAAGCTAAATCTAGCCGATTCCCATTATATATTTCACCGAATATTTTCGGATATTATTCTGAACCGGGGAAGAAAGAAACATTTAATTAAATTAAATTTATCAATTTAAAATATATAATTGTGTATAAAAAAAAGTGAAATAATTTTCTTTAAATAATTAAGGGGGGGGGGGGGGTGAGTAAACAAATTTTTATTCTAAAAAAGCAAATTGGAAGAGAGGGATGGGGCTAAATGGTCATACTATTGAGCCATAAATCTAAACCCCATATGATTAGAATGACGTTCTTGGGTAAAAGGCTCTGGTGAATGATTAAAATTTTTTTAATAAGTAATAGTTTATTAAGGTGTGTTGTCAATGACAATTGGCTAATAAATATACGGTTATTTGATAGAGGGTAACAATACTTAAAATCATAAGTATTATTGCGAACATATTATTTACAAATTTTAAAATGGAAAAAAAGAAAAGAATTATAATTAAAAAACGAATTAAATCACAATTTCTAATTTTAACTTTTCATTTAGGTTTGATAAAAATATAATAGTTTAATAAAAATATTTAATACATTGAACGTTAAAAGTAAAACATATATACGTAATTTAAAAAAATATATATTAAAAATGTCATGTAAACTATAAAATCTATATAAAAAACTGTATAATAAAAAAAATAAAATAATTAATTATTATAGTTTCTAAATTCGTGTTTAAAATATAAAAGAACAAGATTTTTAAAAAAAATAAACTATAAGGAGAAAATATTATACATGGTTAATTGTGTTCCAAAAAAGGAACCATAATTATATCGAAAAAATTTTATTTTTATAACGAGAATTTAAGTAGGCGGTAATGTTTGATATTGAAGGTGAGAAGGCAATATATGCTGTGGCAAGCAAAATATCGGATTTATTGGTAATATATTGCGGGGATACGTGCCTAATAAAGATAATCCGGATATACCAAAAACTGTGTGGAAAGGGTCGGGCTACAAATAAAGAAACATTTTTTAAAATTTTTATAAGTGTGAATTGATCAAATTTTAAATTTATTTCTAAATCAATTATCAAAATCTAACTGTTAAAAATGACGTTCAAACTGTAAGATATCAAGTTATAATTTTATTAGTAGAAAGTATATCATAATTTATTTCCTCCAGGGTATAAAAACGAATGGTATCCAAAACAATCAAAAATATTTTAAAAAATAGAATGAATTTAATATTCAATTAAAACGCATTACTGTTACTAGTTCTCCCCATTACAAATTGAATTCGTCTCAATAAACGTAGTAAGCGTTTTGATATTACTTTTTTAAATACGTCGTTATTTTGTATTTATCTATTAGTGATCTACAATATCGAGTTTTTTTTGGTCTGAGCCCGTCCGTGGGTAGGTAGAAAAACATTTGTATCAGAGCCCGGCTCTGAGGCCCATTAAAAAATTGAGTTTATAATCAAACTCAAAATATTTATTTTATTCTCTATTTTTTATTTATTAAAAAAATATGATTAGAAAATGATTAGTAAATATTTCTCACCTGATTTTTTATTAAACTTTTCTTATATTTAAAAAAATTTAAATAATGGTTATATTCAATTCAGGGTTAGAAAATGAAAGATTTCAAATCAAAATATCATTAAATTTTCAATCTAGGCTATGTCCAAAACATCAAAAAATTAAATTCACAAACTTTAATGAAAATGAATAAATAAGCTATCTTAAATATAAAACATGCTCAAAATATAATTCTAGAAAATTTTATAAATTTAACATACGATTTCATTAAAATTTGCAAAAGTTTTAAACTTTTGGCATTATTTTAAAATAGGATTGGACATGGCCTTAAAATTATCAAAACATTACTTATAAATCACCTGACATTTTATTACAAATACCTTATGGATATTATTTAAACTGATTTTAAGTAATTTAATAAATGAAAATTTAGTGGCCTTCCCTAAAAATTTCCATTCAATTTATTTGATTTTATATATTATAACGCAAATTTATAGATAAAGTATTTTATCATAATATTTAAAAAGAAAAACTAATTTTCCAGTTTTCTAGTTAGTCTGTTTCTAAATTTTAATTAACGTAGACGAAAGGAGGCAAACATTCTTTCCGTAGAATCTGTTACACCAAAGAATTGACTGGATATTATAATTATTTCTGTATTATCGACAGAAATCTTTTTATATTAGGATCTCCAAAAATTCGAGTTAATATGGAAGGAGAAACCACTATTTGACTAAACGTTTATGATTTGGTTTAGTGTACAATATTAATACCAGTTGTGCCAGTCATTGTTCAACACTATGTTCAGTGATTATTTTGAAACAAATCCAAGGTTTTGTGATTCAAATTAGTTTTAAAAGATCTTTGATGGTAAAATTTATAACTTTTTGTTAAATTAATTTGCCAATTTCTATATATGGTATTTACCATTAGACTTTATATCTTTAAATGACTAGAGTATTCAATATAAAAAACATCTGAATTAACGTATTCTCTAAATAAGAATTCATACCAATAGTATTCCTCATTCTCAACATGTTTTAATCCGTAACTATGCAAGTAATTAAAATTCCTGTATTTTATAATAAGGCCTATCTTTTCAAAATGTGAATTTAATTTTGGTAATGAAATTTCCTTATTTAAATGAAGGTATTCCTTTTTACTATGAATAAAGAAATCACATGAATAAGATGGTATAAAATTTTATTATCCCCATTGTTCATAGCTTTGATCATATAAAATCCAACTGTAAAAAAATCTGCTTGCTTGATCTTTACTAAGCTGTCTGATACTACATCAATTTTTTCTGTAATATAATTCCTGCATGCCAACCAGAGGTCTTTCGTTTTCAACCCTTGCCCTTAGAGTCACAAATTCTTATTTTTATAATATTTTTGCTTCCAAAACGAATTTTTAATAAATTCTCGCTTTGAAAGCTCCTCGTTGTTCAGAGTCCTACGGTTATGAAAAATCATCTAAGGAGGGCATTCATACGTCTTTGAATCTTGAGTGTTCATAGGAGTTATCAAAACATTTGCTAAATTTAACAGATCCCAAGTTCTGCTCTCTACATAAAAGTTCCATCGCTTAAGAATATATCGCTCAATGCCTAATATCGTCTTTCAAAAGAAAAGTTTCAAATTCAGGTGAGGTAAATAGTGTACTATTATCTCAAACAATGTAACGTGGTAAACCAGATCTAGAAAATAGTTTCGAGACTATTGATTATACTCGCCGAATTAATGAGTAAAAATCGCAATTTTAACCGTGTGAATCAATTGCGTTTTGTATCTGCCCCTATTGGGCAAATCCTGGCTATGCCACTGATTGTGGCCGCATATCTATGAAGTAGAGTCTTATTTGGCATTTTATAAAAAAATATATAGTAGTGTCCATTTTCCTAAATTTATTTACATAATTTACACAAATATTCATAATATATTAATTATCGCGGTTTTCAATAAAAAATTATATAAATATTGAGTATCTCTTGTATATTATAGATACAAGATTGAAAAGTATTTGTATTCAAAAATTTGCCAAACCCTGCTTATGAAGTAACAGCCAGCATGAAACAATTGAGAGATACATACATGGATAAAATGTTTTAACTAACGACACATTGTAAAAAAAGTATATCGAAACCACCACTAATTTATGAATTAATTTTATTTGTAGTACGACAACTCTAATGTTTAATAAATATTGTAGTGTTTGAGAAGTAATGGAATCTGAATCAGTAATATTTTGAAATATAAAAATGACTTTTTATATGCTGGTTCTTTTATAGCCGAAACTTACAGTGAAGAGGGGGATATTTTTCACCAGATGTTAAAACAAAATAAAAGGATGTTATTATATTTTTATTTTAATCATACTTAATCATTAATCTATGTTAAAAAAATATTAAACAACTTTTTTAAATGTCACACTTAAAAATTTTTTTATAAAAAAATATAAAGTTTTGTCATCACATATTTTCATTTACTTAGTTAACGATATTTTATGTAGAATAATTTTAAAAATAATGATAAATTATTCATCTTAGTTTTTAGATCTTAGTCAAAATCTTTTATTTCTGAAAATAGTTTTTTTCTCTCACTTTATTTTTTCATATTTGAGACATAACTTTAATTTAATATATTCAATTCGTATAAACATTATATAATAAATTCGTAATTACATTAATACATGAATATTGATTACAGTGAAAGGGGGGATATTTACTACCAGATGTTAAAACAAAATAAAATGATACTATTATATTTTTATTTTAATCATACTTAAACATTAATCTATGTTAAAAAAATTTTAAACAACTTTTTTTTAAAAAAAAACTTTTTAAAAAATTTTTTTTCACATATCATTTACATAATTTAATATTTTTGTATATTTAATATTAATAAATTTTTCAATCTTATAATGTTTAATATAGACTACATTCTTTATAACTTTAATACATCTCCTTTACTCTCAAGTACTTCTGTAAATTATTCTTTGCCAATCTCAGATGGGAACGATATGGAAAATTATCAATCACATTCTAATATTTCTGCAAATAATAATTCTTTAGCAACTAATAATGAAAATATAAATCATTCTCAAATATCATCCATTCCTAAACCCAAAAGAACATACAATTGTTGGAACAAAGATAAAATTGAAATGGTAATGAAAATATTAGCAATGCCAGAGGAAGAAGAGATGAAGGTTAAGGACATTGCTAAATTTGTTAATATGTCGAAGGCATCAATACATAAAATAAAACGGGATACATTCTCAGAAATTATTGGTGAGCCCTTAAAGGAATTCTCGCTTAAACAAAGGGGGAGAAAAATTAAAGACACAGCAAATATTGAAAGGCAAATTATGGATTTGCTAATCGACAATAATACCTTCACGGTGAAGGATATAATTGAGAATTTGCCCTCTGGTTCTCCAAAAAATATTGGAACTATAAGGAAATATATTAATATTTAATGGTAGTTCATAGTCATAAATTGCTTGCTTAATATAGTACCTATTTAATTAAAATATTAAAAAATTTTAATCGTATATTATATAATTAGATTACTTTAGTCAATAGGTAGTCCACGATAGCCCAGCTCCAAATATTGTTGCATATGATTATAAAAATTTGTAAAATCATAAGGAATAAATTGATGCATAATTTGATTAATATTTGTTATTATGTGCTCCCTTGTGCTTGGTCTGGGAATTAATGACCTATATTTGTTTTTGAAGACCCCGAAAAAATTTTCAATTGGGTTCAATTGTGGTGAATATGGGGGTAGATACTCTATTCTCTCTTTAAAGGCATCAATTAGATGACTTTTATGTATAGAAGCATTATCCATAACTAAGACGGCATCTGGTGGTAACATACTAATAATCTCCATTAACAAATTTCGGAATAATATACCATTATATGATCCTTCGATGATTTTAAAATGTATAACTCCACAAATTCCTATAGTGCAAAGTACACTTACATTTTTCCCTTTTGAGGATGGAACCTTTATTGTTGGTCTCACATTGAGTGGTGCCCAAGCATAGACAGGTACAACATAAAAATTGATGCCTGTTTCGTCGAGAAAATAGAGTCTTTCTCTGGAGATTTTCAGCAATTTGCGGCAATACACCTGCCGAATATTGATAGCTCCTGGTGTATTCCTGCGATCCGGTTCTTTCCCAGCTCTTTTTTTGGACCGATGTTTTTGATATATTTCCTTATGGTTCCAATATTTTTTGGCGAACCAGAAGGCAAATTCTCAATTATATCCTTCACCGTGAAGGTATTATTGTCCATTAGCAAATCCATAACTTGCCTTTCAATGTTTGCTGTGTCTTTTATTTTTCTCCCTCTTTGTTTAAGAGAGAATTCCTTTAAAGGCTCACCAATAATTTCTGGGAATGTATCCCTTTTTATTTTATGTATTGAGGCCTTCGACATATTAACAAATTTAGCAATGTCCTTAATCTTCATCTGTTCTTCCTCTGGCATTGCTAAAATTTTCATTACCATTTCAATTTTATCTTTGTTCCAACAATTGTATGTTCTTTTGGGTTTAGGAATGGAGGATACTTGAGAATGATTTATATTTTCATTAATAGTTGCTAAAGAATTATTATTTGCAGAAATGCTAGAATGTGATTGATAATTTTCCATATCATTCCCATCTGAGATTGGCAAAGAATAATTTACAGAAGTACTTGGGAGTAAAGGAGAGTTATTAAAATTATAAAGTAAGTAGTCTATATTAAACATTATATATGTAAAGATTGAAAAATTAATTAATATTAAATTAAATATACAAAAATATTAAATTATGTAAATGATATGTGAAAAAATATGTTTTTTTATGTTAAAAAAGTTTTTTTAATTATAAACTTCAAGTGCGGCATTTTTTGAAAAAGTTGTTTAATATTTTTTTAACATAGATTAATGTTTAAGTATCATTAAAATAAAAATATAATAACATCCTTTTATTTTGTTTTAACATCTGGTGAAAAATATCCGCCTCTTCACTGTAATATGTTAATCTCTTTAACAAAGTGATAAAAAGTATATTCAAATTATAAAATAAAAACTTAAACAATGTTAAGATAATACTTAAGAAATATGATAAAAAAAAACTATTCAAATTATGCTTATGTACAATAATAAACTTTTGAACGTTAATATAATATAATATATCATATTCAAATATAACACTATCCTTCACCTGGCGAAAATTTTCCGGTGCTTTTCAGTTTCGTTAGGTAAGGTGAAGACTTTTCTTTTATTTCATATGTTCATTCGTTATTATTCCGTTGTAGGTAATTGATTCTCGGTTCAGAGCTCAATACACTTTCCCTTATATTTTCCTGGTTAGTCGTAATATCTTTATATGCGATAAATCTATTCCGTAAGTGATTAAAATGTCTTTTCCCTATAGCTTAAGGCATTGTCAATATAAGTCGTTGGACTCGATCTCTTATTTATCCGGGTAACCAACTGGGTTGATTATTTGGTCTCTGAAATTCTTTATCCATACCGTATCTTTATCTTGAAACGTTTTTAGTTCCTCATTATTAAGTTATATTTAAACCCTTCATGTATTAATTTCGAAAAGGGTCCTAAAAAACTCCCGTCTTAATAATAATGATGCTGGAGTAACTTGCTGCATGTGGAGATTTGCGATACGCGAATAAAATACTGTTAATACATAAAAGTCATAGAAAATTAACTTATAAATTTTTTTAATAAAAACAAAAAACTACTTCTAAAGATTTTTTACAAAAATAACTTGGAATTATAAGTAAAATTTGGTTGTAAATTCAGTTTGAGTATTCTCAAAAAATCTTCATTTTAAAAAATTTTCAGAATCTTTGAAGATTTTTTTTGAGCAATTATACTCTGCCTTTTTTAAACATGCTTTTGGATAATAATAGTGTAGAATCTAGCTACTAAATGTTTTCCTATATATTTTATATAAAAATATAATGGAAATAAACATTAAATGAATAATGATCTGTAATCTCAAACACTACTCATGAAATTTATAACTCACCCCCAAATATAGATGATAAGAATATAGGAAATATCATTAAAATAATCTTTTATAAAGGTACTATATATTTTAATGAATTTTGATTCATAAAAATTTAAGTCTAAGATTATTTGATTTGTTGCTATAAGAAATTCCTACTGAGTACTGAGATATACCAAACGAATGTTTATAATCATGCATCTTTCTCAAATTTGGAAATATGTGATGCCTACTTTTATGGTAAAATTTTTAATATTATTTTCATTTTTTATATAGCCATAAACCAAATTTTTGATTCTTCCGCAATTATATAGAGGATAAAATTATGGTTCACCCGTCATTCTCGACGGGATTTATGCTTGTATATATATAATCAATATTTTTATTATCCTCATTAAAAATATCATCAAAAAACCTAGAACACAAGATGTTCTCATTTTGTTAGGTAATTAAAATGTTCAGAATGAAGATATGTTTTATCATTGTGTTCTTCTCTTGTTTCAACCACATTTATTAACAAAAAAATGGCAGACTGACAGAATATCAGTATCTTGATTTTTCATCTATGTAAAATACTCTTGATATAATTTAAATACTTCGGGAACTTGTTCTATAATTTCTATATCAAGCGTACCCTCTTAATTTCATTTCGATTTTACAATTTAAATAAATAAAAGCACGAAATGAAAGGAATAGAATAAATTTAATTTTCAAAATATATCCTTATCACAAAATAAATTTGTATTTTTTTTTATAAAATGGATGTATCAAGCATACTTAATATTTGTTATAGAAATATAGCCCTAAACTAAAGCTATTTGTTTTTATAAACATGGGCTCAGATTAGAATCATGTATAAACTCAGGTAAACCCATTATAAAATTTTGAACAATATTGTTGAAATTGAATAGTACCATAAAATTTTACATCTTGCCTTGCTCAGTCAATAATTAATTTCTCATAACTTGTCTATAATTGCTAACTGTAATGTATGAGCTGCACATCTAATGTTATAAACCTATGGAGTTATATCTTACAATTGGCCCAGATCCACCATTTCTTTATTTAATTTAGCAATAATTAGAATCTTGAAATCACTGAAAAAACCTATGGCAATAATTGATTGTAAGATGCATATCGATTTACGATATGCTGGATCGATTGTTAAAATTGAAAGCTTTTTATATGAACTCTGTTACAACATTGGAAGTTATCTAGAGGAAACAGAATGGGATTCAATAGCTAATATAACTGAAGTTTTTTTGAAACCACTTAAGATGACAACCTTGAGACTATAATCGGAGCAAAAGGGCCTCTCCAATTTTTATGGTATTTGGGTAAAATGCCGTTTAGAATTGTAAAAAATAGATAATAATTTTTCCAATGAGGTATTAGGGCATACGAGATTTAAAGAGGAAACTTATTTAAATATTAATAATCTATATACCTCACTACAGTAGCGTCATTAGGGGGGGGGGGATCGCACAAAAAAGATAATTTTAAAAATTTTAGCTAAAAAAGTTCATTTAAAAAAAATATTTTTGAGCCCACTGAGATTGTAAAGGCTAGTGACGCTCTTGCCTCACTATATTTAGCCCAAGTATCTGATCTTATTAACAATTTATCAGGAAGAGGGTGTTAAGGTTAATTTAACGAAATTGTGAGAAAAACATTAAACATTAAATTATTGAATGCATCAACATTATCTGAATGATGATTTTGAAAAATTGGAAAAAGAAAATTAACACAGCATCAAAATATTTGCATATATCAATTAAAAAAAGATGCAAATATTTTTAGATTTCTGGGAAGATAATAGCTTAATTAATCTATTATTCATAAATCGAAACCTGAAGGCCGACCCAGCCCGGGTACAATGACCGGAATGTATCTTAATTTTTTAAATATACCCGGGCCGGGTCTAAAATAAATTTTTTTAAATACCCGGGTTGGTAAATAAAATTTTTAAAAACCGGGCCATGCCGGAAATTATTTTTTTAAAAAAATACGGGCGCGGTGGTTCAAATGGTATCTCTGTAGGTATCTGAAATAAATAAAAGAATGGCTAAATAAGTAGCGAATTTTGGATGTACCTACGTGAAAAGGTAGCGGAGCTATTAAATAGCTACTTATTTTACATAAAAAAATTAGGGTCCGTTACCTATCGTTACTTAAAAATGTAGCGCGATACTTCTAATAGTTACTTTAGCAGCATTGTAAATTACATATAATTATATCTTGATATTTTACAGTGTCGCGAGGGCGAATAATTGGATAAAAAAAAATTTTTTTGTATATTCAAAAAAATCTAAAGTTTTCTTTTCACTTTGAATTCCCCTTGCCCTAGTTATAACTATATTCTTTTTTTTTTACCAATCTTCTTTCTAATAATTTTTTACTATTTAAATCTAATTCATTTTTTTGTTACCATATCCCTAGGCCTGTCGGTGAAACCGCCGAGTTCGACATCTTGGCAAGCCAGTATAAATCTTTCCAATTTATTCTATAAAAAAATACGTGTTTTATCATAATAAATAATGAGAACATGATAACAACAAATCATCATACAAGTTCAAATAAAAACTAATTTAAATGTACTTTTATTTTTAAAATGGTCAAAGTTTAATTATATCATGCCATTTATTAAGACGTAAGACTCAGGTCGTCATTATAATGGTCATAACATATATGGTCAGGAATGGGTTTCTATTATACTTTTTTATTTTTAGCACGTTCATCCCTCTTCACGACTAACTTTTTTCGACTCCCTTATATCAGGAATGACCCCAAATAAATTTACAAATGGATATGGGCAATAAGCATAATTTCCATGTTTAAAATCATGAATACTTTATATATATTCATTATTATTTTGTCCCCCAATTTCAGGAACATCTGCTAAGGGGTGGGGGCGCAAGATCGTCTTTGAAATTGGAGCGGGGTAGGAGTTGTCCTTGTCAAGGCGCTATCGGCATTTGGATAAAATTGGAGGTGGAAGGGTATGGAGTAGTTTTGATTCGGATTTACTTTTTATGCTAATTTTAATTAGGTAGGGGGAAGTAGGAGGTAACATTATCATTGACTTTGGGGGGTGTAAAAATCAAGGCCGATTCCTGATATCTAAGCATCAAGTCAAGCATTCAGGAGCTTTGTCAGACTTTTTAAAAAGGTGCTAAAAAAATATAGATATAAATTTATCCTAAAGATGCATTAAAAAATATTACTCCGAATTTCGTATATCAATTAAATTACAGCTATAAAAATATATCGAGCATACGAATATAAATAGATACATTAATATAACTTAATTGCAGGGTAGATATAAAATAGTAATTTAGGCTTGATTAAATAAAAAAAATATACCACATTATATAATATTTTTTTTTAAATTGATATAAGTTGGCCAATCAAATTCAAATAAATGTTAAGCCAATATTAACTTTATTTTGTATATAATAGTAAAATAAGTCTATAATATTAATCTTATAATATTTTTGAATTCATTGACATTCAATAACTTATGTTTAGCTTTCCATGGCCGAGTGTTCTGATTCATATTCAAAATTATCTTTTTCTTTAATACTTTTAATCAATTTTCCAGTTGACGAGGTCTTCATTCGATTTCTGCTGTAGTAAGAATGGTAACTCAAATTGACCAATTTCTTTCTGAAGAAGAAGCAAAACTAGGAATTGTTAGTTAATGTCACTTCTCTGGCATGGCGGGCAAAGTTCATTCCACTAACTTGAAGTCTGAATTTAATTGTTTCTTATGGGAGTTACTTGCCCCATAATTTGCTATTAAACATGCCGCTTTTACTTCTGAAATTTATGATATAACTTAAAATATTTAGATTATAACCACCTTGTAAAATGGGTAATTCTTGTATATACATACTTTCATCAAATTCACTAGTAAAATACTCCCCTTGATATTGGAAAACCTAATAATAAGAAACATTGTGATCTGATGTATTTATATTGTTCTTATTTTTTCATACATATTTTTAATTTTTTTATACAGATTTTTTAGTCAAATAATCCTCCGCTCAATTGGTTGAATTTGACCGGTCAATTGACCGACTTGCCAACCCTTGATATAAGTAATAATTTAGGTGGTCCTGCGAGCCAACAGTCTTAACAGCCTTGTAAATACAAATGTGCATGTCAAATGAGCAATCAAGATTTTCGGCAGCCCCTTTCAATTTCGATGAAAAGTTGTAAGCTGGTTATATGTGTTTACATTAGATCATAAACAAAATTTTAGCGCATTATCAATTATATTAACGGAGATAATCTGAGTTAAAGGTCCATCCTTTTTTTGCTTTTTACTTATGTTAAATAACTAGTTTATCGAATGTTGAATATAATATTAATAGCTAAGTCAATAATTAAAAATTATGATGAAAACCTAAAAAAAATTTTTTTAAAAAAAATATGGGTCATCTTATGGTCAGTAGAAAATTTGATATTAATATATCGAAATGACTATGATCTCCAATTTTAATTTTTTTGGAAATATCATTCGTTTTACTATTTTTTTAAATAATTTCTTTAACAATTAGCTTAGCTGGACATCTATTTTAAAAAAATATTGCGATTTTTATATTTATAAAAATAGATGGCACTACATATAATAGTTTTAATATGTTAAAATTCAATTTTTTTATTGCTCAAAATTTTTTTAATGTATATATATATATCATACTATGTCGATTAAATGTATTATATATTTATTTGTAATTCAGATCACAGAATTTTTGAAATCTTCACAAATTTTGGCTAAGGTAGTTTATAAATTAATTAAAAGCCTGGCAAGCTTGTGAGATTTCTTCAGGAGATAATATATATATGTTCGACCGGTGAGAGTAGAAGGATTGACCAGCGAGTGAATATGAGATTTGGGAAATCATTTATCAGAGGAAATTTAAATGAAGCTGAAGGTCCACAAGGGTGAAAAATCGGATTTTTACTTCTACATTTGTATCATTTTTATCGATTATATATCCTAACCACCATTTGTCATCATATACGCATGTTATATATCCATTAATATTTTTAAATATAATTTTCTCAATTAAAAACGAAACTTGTTTTTATTATATTTTTTGGAATTTGAATATATTTTGGTTTTTAGCCTATTTTGATCAATGGAAATAACCCTGTCAATTTTTTGGGTCTCATGTATGGGCAGTGCAGAATTAAATCTTTTACGAAGGCTAATTGCCCTCCAATGTATTCTAGATTTGGTATATATGTATATTCAAATTGATTGGGGTTAGAATTTGATTTTTATTTGGCCTTTGAAGACGTTCTGGCAAATAATCTTGATAGTTCCTCGATATCATTACACGCATTTTTGCCGTGAAGAGTGGGGAAAAAATGCCATTCGGCTGAAATATTAAAATCATATTAATGAAGGCATATGTTTAAAAAAATTTTGCAATTCTTGTATTGTGACTAGTGCTGTAAACATTTCTATAAAAATCGAACGCGTTTGCGTTCAACGTTCATTGACCACGTTCCCTTTCAATAAAAAGGTAAAAAAATTTTAAGATTTAATTTAATATAAATAAATGTCTTATATGTTTTAACACAATATATTAACCATGTTAAAAAATAATAAGGTTTAATTTTGATAATATAATTATAAATATAATATAATATAGCGAATAAAAAATATCATTATTTATAAAAGATTTTTCTTGTTAATCTTTAATAACAATTGTTTTTCAAAATTTTCATCTGATAGACAGGAACACTTGGCAGTTAATACGGGATTAGCTATACTAAAAACGTGTACAGGGGCAGATGAGGGGATTGCGGTATTATACTTAATAAACAACTCTTTTAACATAGGGAATTTATTGAAAACATTTATTGTTCTGTCCTTTGCTTCAAAAAATTGAGATAAGTTATCCTCATCCAATCATCCTCGTCATAAAAGAGGGTATATCCATTCTTGCATTATCATTTCTAGCGTTTTCAATGCATTTTTTCAATCTATAAGTTTATTTTTTATAGGTTCGTTCTGTGGAAGTTTTATCCATGACCCTGGATGTATAATCGCAGAAAGAACATATTGATATTCTATGTTCAAATCTTTAAAAAAAATAAAAAATATGTAATTAATTTGATAGTGAGTTTAATACCTTTTATTAATCTCATTTAATACTGCGTCTATCAATGGTAACCATAGGCTTACTAAATTTTTTTAATTAAAATAATTATCGTTATTGTTGGGGTTAAATAGCTCAAATGCATTTTTTATTCAAATTTAATGATTTTACAGTTATATTATATAAAATAGAATAATTAATATTACAATCAAATGTCGTTTTAAACTGAAACTTGAAGATTTTGAAACTGATATAAAACTTTTTGGGCACATTTTACATTCGGTTGAATTAGTTCCTTCAATATAGGATGTTACTGTAAAATATTTATCATATTTGGGCCATGGTAATGTTAATTTATTTGATTTCGAATTTTCAGAATCAGATGATTATGACGAAATAATAATATCCATGCTTATCCTAGTCAAATTAAAATATAACAATAATATTTAAATTGATAAACTATAAGTGTTAAAAAAAAATTCTAATGTGAAAAAGGAAACGGACTAATATTAAATTTTTCAAATAAATAAAAATAAAAGTGTTTTTAAAATTGAACGTTAAATTCGAACGCGTTCGTCATAAAAGAGGAACGCGTTCGCGTTCAAAGTTCGTCAAAAATAAAAGGAACGCCGTTCATTATTTTTCGTTTACAACACAAATTGTGACGCGACTCCACCTGAAAAGTACATTATATTTTCTGGTTTAGAATCAAATTTAGCTGTTAAGAAATTAATCAATTTTTTTTGATAAAGGTGGACTGCACTAATATTAAGGTGAATATTTATAATAGGCTGCAAATGGATGTATATTAGCTTGCGCGTTGTCCCAATGAAATCCTTACATTTTATCTCGTAAAATAAATGAATAATTTTCAGAATAATCTAGAATTGTTAAAGAATTCCCCATCTTTTAAATTTTCTTTGGAATTCTTAAAAATAAAGTTTGTTGTTTAGCTATAAACGAGTGACGCAGTAAAATTTGAACTTTTTCTAATAGATAATCGATGAAATCATCAACGGATTTTATAATAGTTTCAAGATTTGCTCTATCCACCGTGATCCATTGTTTAAACGTGACATATTCTATATGATTTCTCTGAAACAATTGGTATAATTGGCTCTTAAGAGATACTTTGATATTGATACAATTTGTTAAATAACATTTTGGCTGAAAGGGATTACAAATAATTTGGGCCAAAAGATAGTTATAAGAATTTATACAGTATTCTTCTCCTGCTATTATTTCAGCTAATACATTTGTATTAATTTCATTCTGATGAATAGTGCAAACATAAACAGTGTGTGTTACTAGCTCCCAAGGTTGGGCAAATTTTCAGAAAATTGTATTCGGATACAGATACCTTATAAAATTTTGTATTTAAGATACAAGATACTTTAGAAAAATTTCAATAAGATATAAGATACTTGTATTTTTCAAAAAAAAAAGTATCTAAGATACAAGATACTTTTTTAAAAAACTTTAAATAGTCAAAATCAAAATGTATAAAGCTTTATCTTATCTATAATATAAATTTATAAAAAAATATTTAAAATAAATTGAAGAAAATAACAATTTATTATAAAAGATAATGCGATATTCCATTTGATAATTATATAATTAGTAAATAATAATAAATCAGCATTATTTTTTAATATTATTAATTTTTCGTTCAATCTTTGACGATTTTGGTCTATTAACCATATTAGCAAAGCTAAATAATCTTTCAACGGGGGCTGAGGAGGGTATTGTGTAATATTTAATAAATATTTCGTTTATATATTTATAACTATTTAACATATTTATACTCCGCCTGTCATCTTTCATATAATTTAGGACCTTTATTTCAATATCATTTATTGAATTATTAGAATTGGATGTGGTACTTTTAAGGCAAAAGTAATCATCATCTTCATCAATTGAAGATTTTGTTGAAGTATTAATTTCAATATTATTTTTAAAAACAATTAAAACTTTATATAATAACAAATCCTGAAGGTATTTTTTTTCTTTTTCACCATCAATCCAACGATTTTTAAAATAGGGATGAGAAATAGTTGCCAAAAATGCACTTTTAAAATTGTTATCAAAATCATATATATTTTTAAATCTTTTATTTAAATAATTTTCTATGGCAACAGCTAATGGTTTGCAAAATTGTAGATTGGTTTGAATTAATTTTGTAATTTTTTTAACGACATTTAAAATTGGAGCTGATTCTCCATAATAGCAGTTGATTTCACTCTGTATTTTGTCAATCGCTATAGCCAATGGGGCCATTATATTGCAATATTCTTCTAAATATTGAATTTCAATATCTCTTAATTTAGGAAATTCTAATTTTTGACATAATTTAGGAAGCTCGCCTTTAAATTTTAATAAACTATAAAGACTATCATACAAACTATTCCATCTAGTGCAACAAGGTGTAACTAATTTTTTTCCTAAAACTGCTTTGATAAGTTCTGAGTTTTAAGACTATTATTTGCATTCCATAGCTTAGTACATTTAGCTATTGCAGGATGATGAATTTTAGAAATGTTAGGAGAATCCTTAATAGCTCTCTCGACATCTGTTGTGGCAATTAGACTTATCGTATGGCACAAACAACGAATGTGTTGAGGCAATGTTATTGAGGCTTCTTTAGACCCTTAAATAAACAAATAAATAATTTTATTGAATAAAATTTTTTACTAAATTTACAATATCGTAATAAATTTTAAAGAAGTATTAAATAATACTTTCAATGATTTCGAATTCTATACATTCATCATCATTGATGTCAAAGTCATTCTCTACAGCTTCCATAGAATATCCAAACTCCTTGAAAGCTTTCTTAAAGTTAGAGCCGTTATCTGTAACAGTTGCTATAACTTTTTCGTCAATACCAAAGTCACGATGAATTTCTTTATTATGATCATCTTGAAGTACTTCAAAAAATTTGCCATTAAGTATGCTTAGTTTAAATTTATTGTTATAATTTTAGGTTGAAGAATCATCTGAAGACGAAGATAAACATATTATTCTATTTTCTTCTTCCATAATTTTAAAATAGACAGATATAAAACGATTCAAATATGGTAGTTCGAATTGTTAGCAAATTGCTATATGACGACCAACGTCATATATCAAAAATTATCTTAAAATATCTAAATTTTGATTAAATTTTTCATTTAAATCTTAAAACAATATCATTTTAAATTTTAATACTATTTAAATTAACCAATATAAATTTTTTTTAAAGTATCTGTATCTTTTTAAATACATAGTTGGTTAAGATACAAATACTTTTAAATAATATGTATCTTAGATACTAGATACAAGATACTTTTCAAAATTTTAAAAAAGAGTATCTTGTATCTTAGATACAAATATCCGCGCCCAACCCTGCTAGCTCCAACTAAAATACAGTTTATTGGCCTTAGTTCGGCAAATTTATTCATATATCCGGGCATTCTTCCTGCATCTTGAATATTTCTTTATGATCGATATGTCTTTTTCGAACTGTTCTTTCTCGCGTTTAACAGACGCATAATCTTTTATACCGGGCATGGGTTGGCTTATTTCACCGGAACTATAAATCCGGGACGAGCTTAAATGTTTGTTCGTTTAGTGTCGCAACTGCCTTACGTTTTGGGAATGAGAGAATTCCAAATTCTTTTATCACTATTTTAGATTTTTTCTTGCCATACATGATGTTAGGTCGAATTCCTTTTGAATTATCTCACGATAACTTCAACAATTTAAACATTTTATTAGTTTGAAATTATCTCGCACAAAAATTCTCTCATAAAGATTTGAAGTAGAGGTCCGCAATGTGGGCCTTAACCCGAAAGTCTGCCCGCCATTCTTAAAATTTTTTAACCAGCTAGCCTATGTTTTTTTTTAAAAAAAAAATCACCCGCCAGATTTTCCCGAAAAGGTTTGATTGGTTGGTTTGCCTAGCTTTTTATTAAATATTCAAAATTATCGCCCAATAATTTTTTAACCCGCTGGCCCACACGCCCATTGAAGGATCTTCTAAGAGCCCAGCTGTGGAAAATACACGGTTCCTATAACACGCCATCATGCTAGAACGAAATTCACAGAATCACTGAGTATCCGAGTACCTCAATATGTAACGCCCGAATAGTTACTTATGAATGTTTTAGATAGAGAACATATTTTTTTTATTAATGAAAGCCACATTTTAAAAAAAAAAAATCCAACTAAATAAAATATGAATACATTTTTTTTTTAAAAGGGATGCTAATTTTTGAAAAATAGGGTACCCGTCAATTTTTTAAAACACCCAAAGTAGATAGCTAACGTGCCTGCAAATATGGTATAAAAATTATAAATACGAGGAACCTTCGTTACATTTCGTAAAACAATTAACAAAGGAGTTTTAATATTTAATAATATTGAGCGAGATTATATTTTTGCCAGGTAATTTTAATTAAGCTACTAAATTTAATTTACTTTATTAATCCAAGACAGTTTTCCTATGATAGCTAAAGAAGCTAACACCCACCAGGAATAACAGACATCCGGAAATTTTTCGGGCCTTCCTTAAAAAATTTAAAAAAGTATTGGGTGATATAGAAAAAGTATTATACCGTTTAATCCGCCAGAAGGCAATTGTCTTTCACTTAGCCACCAACCTAATCTTTCGGTGTCTATAGAATGGAGATTTCCCGTCAAGGCCAAAACACCGAGACAACAATAAATCTTGGAATATTATTTTTATTTTATAAAATTTATCATTCATTCTTATATAATGTTTAAAACAAAAATAAAGAAACTTATAAAACTAAACTATATTATAAATATTTGATTTTCACGAATTATTAGAAGATATTATAAATATACATTATAAATGAATTTATAAATAAAAATTTTTCGATACGGGGTGTTTTAATGTTTTTTTAAAAATATGATAAAAATAGAGGGATGGCGAAATTAATGATTTTAAAATCGGAGGAAAACCGCCAAGCAAAAAAATAAGCAAAACCAGTAGTTCCTATATCCACCTAAGCTATGAATCCCTAAAAAAGGAGCGACATTTATAAAATTTGTTCACCCCCCCCCCTTTAAATTACATATTCAAAAATATAATTAAAGAGTCGTGAAAATAAAATATAACTAAAAATTCTGACATTTATTTCTTTCTTCAAAGTTGAGTTATATTTTTTAAAAAGTGAAGGTGATAATTTCTACTAAAAAATAGATTTAACCGGCTTAAAATAAAGCAATTATTTTTATATTTAAAGTGATAATAACAATATTTGAGATGAATGTATATTTTGAAAGCCGAAATCCAAACTCCGTCACTAAATTTTCAGAATGTAAAATTTAAAATAGAAATGCTGATCACAAACTTAAGAATGAAATAAGAATGAAATAAGAATGATCGATCAAAAAAGAGGCATTTTCGTGTAATCTTTTAAATCGAGTGAAACTTTGAATGATCAATTACACATGTTGTGAGCACCTATGCAACTTAACTTTTAAAGCTCTGACTCAATTGGTTCCGGAGATATGGCGGGTCAGAGATAAAAAATGGTATCCTTTCGAATTGGAAAAAAATCGATAATTACCCCATAATATAAATGATAGATATTTTGTGTTCTTTCCTCTCCGAAAAAGCTGGGGTGTGAACCCGAACCCCCGTATTTTGGCTTCAACTTTTTTAGATATCTCATCTGCTATTTCAAAAGTTTTAGATTTTCCTCTTGTATCTTTTCAAAGCTCTTATAACATTAATATTTAATTCCTTCTTCTTCAATATATTCTAAACTATTGATTAATGGCTCTATGATCTTTGTCTTCAATGTCTTTATTAAACAATCTCCCGCTTTGAATTTAATCTCAAAATCGAATTACCAACTAAAACTAACATGCAATCTCGGTGAAATCAAAAGTTCTTTATTGTCCTTTTTAAACAAATCTACCAACGGCTTATGATCCGTATATAATAAAAACTTTCGGCCTAATAAATACTCTCTACACTTGGTCAAACCAAACTTAACTGTTAATGCCATCTTTTCTATTGTTGAATAATTTTTTTCAGTAACAAAAATAAAATCCGCTTTGCTACCTTATCAATGTAACAAAGCTCCTTCTATATCTTCATTAATGCATCCACTGCTAAAATTATATAGTTTCTCGTTAAAACAATATCGGTTTCTCTGCCATCTTTATTTTCAATTTTTCGAAACTTTCCTTCTGTGATACTCCCAATTTTCAAGCTTTTTATTTTTCTTCAATAATTCATACAACCGTGTAGCAATTTGCGCAATATTTGGATAAACCTACGATAATAATTAATAGCTCCTAAAAACGCTTGTACTTCAGTTTTATTATTCGAAGGCTCTTATGTTCACTATCTTATCTATATTCTTTGCAATCGAACTGAAGATTTTATTGCTCATAGAAGGAACAAAGGTCCGACTCGTGGCTTAGGGTTATATTTTCATCTCCTTTTATTATATGTCCTAAATACTTTATTTCTCTTACTCCAAAAAAACACTCTTCTTTATATTAGCTCTTAAACCATTTTCTAATATTATGTCTAACATTTTAATTAGCAGCCATAGTTCTTTAAAATATCGGAGCAGATACTTTCAACCCAAATGGTAAACGACAAAATGCAAACAACCCTCTATGTGTTGTAATTGTTAACATTCTACTTGTATTCTCATTCACCTTAATCTGTAAATATGCATTAGAAAAATCTATCTTCGAAAAATATGTCACTCCTTTTAGATTTGCCAATAGTTATTCTAATCTCGGTAAAGGATACCTACCTGTGATAATCCAAGGATTTAATGAAATTCTATAATCTATGCATAACCTTAAGCTATTATCTGGTTTTCTTATGGGGACTAGTCGCCCATTCGCTATGCACTATTGGTCGTATTATACTTTCTTTTAACCATTTATTTAATTCCTTATCAATTTCTTCTATCCAAGAAAACGGTAATCTTCTTAATCCACAAAATTTAGCCTGGTAGTTTCTAATAACTTTATATCTACTTCAACATTTTTTTAGAGTACCTAATTCTTCTTTAAAAACTTCCTTGTACTGATCTAAAATATTCCTGCTTGAATTTCCTTTGAACAGTCTCTTCCGTAACTTTATTCTCAATTATCTGTTTGTCGATTTCGACTGGAGTTACCTCTAATAACTTTATATCTCTTAATGTATTATTCTCTTCTATCTTGTTTCTTTATCTATCAAAATTTCTGGAGTTTGATTTCTAAGTTTATTGAGAACTAAATCTGTTATTTTCTATCCTAGGTAACTTAACCTTATAAAATCATTCTTTATTATTCGCTATTTACCTTATAATTTCAGAAACGGTTTAAAAAAAGACCTATTGTCTTTATGTCACACCAACCTAAAATTGGCTCAATCTTTAACGTAGTTATCTATAAAGTTATATTTTTATTACTTCCAGGCAACCTTATCCTATAATAACCTAAAATTTTACAATGCTACCATCTTTGTCTGACTCTCATTTTTTTACAACAAATTCTTCTTCTGGCCATAATCTATCAAAATCTTTTACACTCATCAGGCTAATTTCAGCTCCTGTATACAATTAAAAACATATTTTTGCTCCATCTTTTTTTCTTAATTATCGGGAATCTATTTTTCTTTAAATCTTCTAATTCAATCTTTTGAACATCTTCACACATCGAATTATTTGTTCTAAATATTTCAAAATTTTTACTTTCTATCTTTATATCTCTCGTTTTATTAATATTTCTAATATTCACATTATTTATAATTAACAAAATTCAAAAATTTATTATTATCAAAAAAATTATCATTAAAATCTATATTTCTTTCTCTTAGTCAGTTCTTATACCTTTCTTGTTTGTGTGTCCTTCTTGACCACATGTATTAAACCTCACTACAAAATTGTTAACTCAACATTTTATTGCTACATGGCCATTCTTGCCACATCTCGCGCACTTTAAATCTTTGGTATATTCACACTGTCGCGACATGTGACCCGGCTGACCATAACTATAGCAACTTATCTGTCGTTAATTATCTATAGGTCTTAGCTTATCTTTATCTCTTATTAAAATTTTCAATTCTCGACTTTCTATCTTAATATATGCCTTTCTTCCTACTGTTATACCTAATATAAAAACTAAAATCATAAACACAAGAACTATTAACAATATGTTTTCTATTAACAAATTCCACATACTTATCTGTGTAATATACATTACGACTTACTTAACAAAAATTTAATTAAAAAAAGTTTAAATATTCTAACGAATATAATCGAATAAAGAAATATTACCAAAATTATTAATAATATATAGAATAAATATATATCATGAATTAATTTTACCTTAAATTTCTCGTGATTCCTTTCCTGGTTTAATTTTATTTTAAATTTTCCTCACTTCAACACCACTTTTGAGAGTTAAGTATATCAGAGTAGAATAATTTAAACAATTAAGATAAAATAACTTTATTTAATAGACAATTAAAATATAAAATACAGATATAAAAATTACAATTAAGATATAAAATTTTACAAAATTAAAAAGTGTTATTTCTTTACATTTTCTGTTTTTTTATGAGCATATCCTTAAAATAAATTGAGCACCCAAATCCATTTTTATAAGTTGCAGCGTGTTAACGAATGGTTTTTAAATGCATAAGTTAATTGTAGAATCAAATATTCACGTTAATATTTATGAAATGTGTATAGTGCTGTTTGTTTACAAACAAAATGTAAGTTTCTTTTTCAAGCGTGAATTAAAATGTGCATGCAGCATGTAATTCAGGGTTATGATTTATATATAAATGCAATAAAAATAAATAACTGCTCAAAAAACTTTGAGCAGGATCTGGGTAATCCTAGTACAATCCTATTCCTATTTGTGTAATTTAATGAAAAAAATACATATCTTTTAATTTTTTTCTTCTTAGTTTGATAATATTAGAAAAAATATTCTAAGGATCTTTTTTATTTTTACCTGACCAGCATGAGATTCCGAACCAGGCTTGCTACCAAAACCTTGGTCAAAATTATGACATTTTAATACGAAATTCACAATCTTGTCAATGTCTTCTTTTATGCAGTCCAATTTATCTAGAAGAGCTAAAGCAGCCAATGCACAGAAGGAAAATCTGGTATCAACTTCACCTAAAGAGATATATAGCAAAGAATTAATTATGTTAATTGAAAAATAAATGTTAAAAAAAAATTAATATTATCAAAATTTAAAAAGAAAAACATTTAATCAGATATAATAATATCAAATCAGCCATATGTGAATAAATAAGACTTGTCTAAATTTAAATGAATAACTTCAATTTACCGATCAGGGATGATACTTAACGTTTATAAATAAATTGGATTGGTCCAATTTAAAAAAAAAATTTGATCCAATATTATAATAGTTTTTTCGTTATTTTATGATTTGTTTATGTCGTATTGGGATATGTTATTCATTGGGATTCGGAATCTCATAATTTTAACATTTATTGAGGGCGATTTTTAACCATCGGATTTGATGGAAAATGTATTCCAGCTGTAAAGAGTACACACACTGAATTTCAACCATTTTTTTCAGAGATCTAAACTGTAATGAACTAAGTTCGGTTCAATGCTCAGTTCGTAAAAAATAACAAATATACTTGAACCTTTAAAAAACCGGTTCGAACCCTTTTGCAGCATAATTCTTTATCCAAACACGACAAATTATAATATTTGTATTTTACAAAATATCCTAATAATAAATAAACGGAAGCAAAATTTAATTTGAAATACTTTTAAAAAATAAGAATTATTTTAAAAGAGCCAGGGACTCTTACACATCCTAAACCAATGATAAGTTATCACACTCGTGCCATTTTTTTAACGTCTCTCTACTCCTAAATCAAAAATTAGTAACAAATAAAAGAAAAATCCAAATTCAAAAATATCATCCATCAATTTCGATGATAAACTTGCATTAGAATTCTACAAGGCTCCAAAGCCCGACCCCAGATTCAAGTTGTAAGAGGTGTCCGACCCAAAGCCCGACCCGATAAATCATAATGTCAATTAAAATAGCATGTCATTTTCAATTATTACTTTACATAACATCCGTTTACCAAGCTATTTTGTTATTATATTTTTGTGTTATTATTACAAACTTCCATCATATTTTATCAGGATAATTAAAATATATTTATCTAATACCTATTTAATTAAATAGCCTCAAATTTTCAATATTTAAAATCGTTTACCATATCTTAATTTGGTGGAAGACTTATCAAAGCGAATTTCCCAATTTAAGTATTTTGGTTCTTAAATTCCTGGCCATCTCTGCTTCCTCGGCTAGCAGTGAAAGCGCGGTTTCAGTGGCTGGTAGGGCCTTTGAAGATAGGAGGACTTGTTTAAAGCCAGACAAATTCGACTCCTCATTATTTGTATATCATAATTATTCACTATGTGATACTATTGATAATCATATGATATTGATATTATCTTTATAACATGTTCATCATGCACATTATCTATTATAGTAATCCTCAAAAAATGTCAATCAAATTTAACCAATAGTGTTTTATTAAAAATATTTGTACAATGATAATCATCATAGCAATTTTAAGCCAATAGTGATTCCCATGTGATTTATAATATGGCGAATTTACTCAAATGCATAACTCCCATCATTCCAGAGGTATGTGATGCTATATGGAAAACTTTAAAAGATATCCAGTTCCAACTAGAGTACATTGTGAAAAGGTATTAAATTTAGATATTAATATATTTATAGAAAATCAAACATTTTAGATTGCACAAAAAATATTTTGAGAAACATGGATTTCCTAACTGCCTTGACTCATTAGATGGTAAGCACATAAAAATAAAAAGTCCTGCAAAATCTGGAACTCTTTTTTACATTTATAGATATTTTAAATCAAATGCTTGGTTTAGCTGATAGCAATTGATTTATAAATATAGATAAAAAATTTCTGATAATTGCTGGATTCAAGGAATGGTTGGACACAATGAAATAAAGAGAGCCATTATAAAGTTATATATGAAGGAAATAATAATACATTTTTTTTGAATAAATAATATATTTATTAATGTGCCCGGGCCAGGACTGGTTTTTTGATAAAAAGCTTAAAAATTTTTCATATTAAACTGTGACTAACTTAAAAATATATTGCATTTTTTTCTTTTAATGATAATAAATTTCAGTATTGCAAACAAAGTGATTACCTAAATACATCTAAAATTGTTTATTTTCATTTAAAGCAATAAATTAAATTTTTGGATATGGGCTTGGGCCAAATTTTCGAAACTTATGATGGGCTTGGGTAATTTTTTTATATTAAATATGGAATGGGCCTACAAATTATTTTTACTGATGACCTGAGCTGGAGGCTGATGAATAAATCAAGGCCCGTGAAGGTCTCTAATTTCAATAACTGAGTTATTTCATTTCCCATCTAAAAGCCATTGATATGCCTTATTTAAATCGTTTGCAAAAAAATTTCTGATAATTGCTGGATTCAAGAAATTGTTGGACACAAAGAAATAAAGAAAGCCATTGTGGAGTTATATATGGAGGAAATATTAATCCATTTTTTAGCATAAATAATGTATTTACTAATGTACCTAGGCCAAAAACCCTAAAAATTTTTCATTTAAATTTAGCCTATTAAACTGTGACACTTAATAATATATTCATTTTTTTTTCTTCTAATGATAAAAAAATTTCAGCATGGCAAACATAGTGATTGCCTAAAAAAACTTAATGTTTATTTTCATTTAAAGCAATAAATTAAATTTTTGGATATGGGCTGGGGCAAAATTTTTTAAACTTATGATTGGTTTGGGTTTGAATTTTTTTATTAAATGTGGAATGAGCCTGCAAATTATTTTTACTGCTGACCTGGGCTGGAGACTGATGAATAAATCAAGGCCCGTGAAGGTCTCTAATTTTAATAACTGAATTATTTCATTTCTCATATAACTTTATTTGAACTTAAAGGAATGGGCTAACCATAGGCAAAAAAAATTCTGAAAATTGCTGGATTCAAGAAATTGTTGGACACAAGGAAATAACGAAAGCCATTGTGATGTTATATATAGAGGAAATATTAATCCATTTTTTAGCATCAATAACAAATAAAAATAATGCCTGTTTTGACCTTGCCTTTAACTTACACATATTGAGATTTTTTAAGAACCCGTTATCAAAAATATATGTTACTAGTTGATATCCCGTCAAGAATGACGGGGAAGAATTTTCTTCTTTATTGAATGATGGACGAATAATAAATTTTACCTTAATTTGATGATGAATTAATCAGAAATTTTCTTATCATGAGATGTGATAATTTATATTTATTTAGATGAGGGGTTATTCTAAAATTTTTCATTATATTTTATAAAATATGTTTATGAAGTATATGGTTAGTAATTTTAAATTTTAATTAATGTGCACAATAAAAAATCTTTTATACTAAATTTTTATTCATTTGTATTTGTAATTTATAATATATTCTTGCTAGAACCTCATAAGATAGGAAATTTTTTGTTTCATTCATCATCAAATAAAGAAATTTTATTATTAATCCATCATTGAATAAAGAAGAAAATTCTCATTTCCCGCCATTCTTGACGGGCTATCAAAAATCTGTAAAAATTATATTTATGTGCTCAATCTATCTATTATAATAATCCTCAAAACCCTTATGACGGCAATTCTTGAATCTGCCATCTGAGGGTTTTCCCAAAAAAAATCATTGAGTATAGAAGAAAATTCTGATTCCCCGTCATTCTTGACGGGTTATCATCTGGTTTTTGTATAATCGCAATAATTTTTAAATTCGATTGTATTTCAACTTTTTTAATATTTAAACTAAATAAAAGGTATGTTTCCTATTTAAATAAAATGCAACTTAATATAAAAATTGATTATATTAGGGCGGTCAAACAATTTAATAATTTATTTACGGTAATACGCATAATTTTTAATTGTTTTTGGATGTTATAATATTCACACAAGAATTAATGGCTTATGGTCGGTATATACTGTAAATCATTTGCCAATTAAATATTCCCTACACTTAGTTAGACCAAAAATTACCGCTAATGCCTCTTGCTCAATCACTGAATATCTGGTTTCTGCATCATGAAAAACTCTTGAAAAAAATAAAATAGGTCTCTCCATATCATTTATTACATGTAATAAAGCAGTCGGTTCGGGCAAATTTTTTTTATAATTAGGGCTCGGGCCACCCAAAAAATCACTTTACAGACTCTAGTTTGCATCACCCCCTCCCTCTCATGCTAAAAGTTCCTAGAAACAAGATTTTTAAATATTCGGCCATAAACATTGCCTACATATAAATGAGATGATTAGCTTTTGGGAAATAAAATCAAGATACACGTAATTAGTGATATGGACCTATTTGAGCCGATTTTTACAAACGGTTAACTTAAAGTATTTTAGCCAGAAAAATATTACCTAAGCCAAGAGATTTCGCTAATATCCAATATTGATTTTTTCTATTACATATGAACATAAATATTGAATCGGTATTGGTTATGTATGAATATCGAAAAATATTAAATTTGAATCAGTGAAAAGTGCATTATAATAGCCTTAAGAACAAAATAATATATTTAAATATGGAAATATTTTATAATAGAATGTTACCCCATTCATCTCCACAAAAACTACCATCATCATTTTGCAAATTTTTGATATAAGCAACAACTTTATCAGAATCGATCACTTCTAATGAATTGTAAAGTAATGAGATCTATAATTAATATGAATAGAAATATATACGTGAATAAACAACATGATAAATTTAATATACACCAGAGATCTGCAGGCCCAGCAGTGGCGCCCGTCCTTAATTTATTCTACTATTCAAAAAAGTGCGTGAAAAAATCTTTAAAATTTATTAATAAACAATATCATAGACGCATTTCATTTATAATAAAATTTTCAGAGTTATAAATTATATTTTAAAAATGGATGTTTCCCAGAGACGCTACAATTCGTATGGGATCGGCGTTTGCCCCCATCTATTTTCAATAGTATAAAAGCAAATTTAGCAATGGTATTTTTGCTAAACAATCGCTTAACTTGAGTACTTGAGCGAAAGTTAAAAAATAAGCATTATAATTGTTTTAAATTTCAATGTAACCAATCCATAATATTTTGGTATCAAATTTTCCAGATATCACAAGTTTATTCATCTACCTTTTTATGCTATCGCGACTAAATTATAAGAGTGTCAGAGCTATATAGGCATAGTATTTTTAGATATTTCGTTTTTTTTCAATTTTTTTTATTACAATTGATTTAGTGCTTCTAGATAAATTCGTTCTATCTTAATTCTTTTTATAATTTTCGTATTTTGCTAATTTTTTTATTTTACCAATTGGATTGATGATTAAATTAAAATGTGGTGATTGATGTTTTATTTTTAATTAATATTATTTTAAATAATATTAATATATTTCATTTTTCATATAATATTATAACGAGTAAATAGGAAAAAATCAATATTCGTTGTTTTTGATTATTTTTATCATTATATGTTTTGGTGTTGATTTTTTTAAAAAAATTTTATTATCTTCATTTGAAACAAATAATTCTTTAAAAAATATTAAAAACTCATTCTATCTATAAAAATGTAGGTGGGAATACGAGTTCCCAAAAAACATGAATAATTATATTTTAATGGTAATTAATTTGTATATTTTGTTTTAAAAAATAAAATTCTTTGGGTTCTGATATAAAGGCTCTTACTTGGCCGCCTATATTTTTTAAAAATTTTAAAGTTCGTGATCTTAATTGTATATATAGTCAAGGCAGACATGCAAGACACGCAGCTAATTCAGTTATTATCGATTCTCTTACGAGGGCCCGAATACCAAACATCCTGGAGCCTAATTTATTAGATGATCGCCTAACTTTTGTGCCTTGGTGATTAGGTAAATCTGTAATTTTGTATCACATGGGTCTATTCATTTCCAAAAAATTTGAATTCTGACCAAAACAATCAAATATTCAAAATAAACAAATTTTATTTTTTTTTACCGATCGTTATCTCCTACCTTGGACATGTGTCATGCGAAACTTTAAATTTTTATAAAATATAGGCGACATATAGGAGCCCTTACATCAGACTAAAAAATTATATTTTTTAAAACAAAATTTACAAATCACCATTTTAAAATATATTTGGGAACTTGTAGTCCCATCTCCGTTTTTAATAGAATGAGTTTTTTTATATTTTTTAAAGAATTATTTGTTTTTGGGGTTGATTGTTATATTTTTTTTGAAAATAGTGATATTATGTATATATTGAAGAAAATAGTAAAAAATAAATTATTCGACCAATTTTTTTTCTAAAAATATTTCTCTTCCTTCAAGAAAAAGGGGAAAAAAAGGGAAACAAAGTAAACAATTAAAATAAAAAAGAAAAAGAATGGATCAACAAAAGAAAAAGGAAACAAAGATAAAAACTATAATTACATTGATTTAAAATTAAAGGAAAAATAGACCCGTTTCGTATTTAGAATTTGAACTCCAAAGGATTTAGCTATTGTTGTTAAACGTCTCGTTTTGAGCCGATTTTTTAAAACAGCTAACTCATTATTTCATCCAGAAAAAGTATTATGCAATCCTGAAGATTTTGCTCATAGTAGGAACAAGGGTCTGGATATATATTATCGAAATATCTAGGCTTAGCCAATATTTTTTCTCTAAAATATTGAGTTAGCCGATTTTAAAAATATCAACAACACTAGTTTTCGCCTTGTTTAAAGTATTATGTGCTTAGGACTGCATTTTAATATGAGTCAGATACATTTCAAATTTTTGAGTATAAGTTTGCAAATTTATAATAATCCATTTAAATTGTTTATCATAAATAATTTTTATCTTGTTAATTGGATGATTGATTCTGATTTTAACATGAGAAACTTTATGTTATTTATATACAAGTTAATGTTACATTGATATTCACTTTGATATTTTTTAAAGAAATGTTATTTTTACTGAAAAATTGGAATTTACTACAATAAAATCCCTATTCTGATTCTACAAAATCATAATCTATATACCTGTGTTTAATTTAATTACCTACCAAAATAGTGAATTGTGGTCCAATTGAACCCAGGCTAATCCCTACATATAACTTGATCGAAAATTTTAGGTCTATTTACTTCTATTATATCTACTATAAACAGAAAAGAACAAATAATATCTACAAACATAAGACCAAAAATATTTTGAACCAAGAAAGAAACCTTAATGGATTTATACATAATTGATTTTTGAATCGCAATTTAAAAACGATATTTACGATTCAGCCTAAGGCCTGCCATTATTTTTATTTAGCTTACAACTTTATTCACTAAAAAAACTGATAAATTAGTTTGTAAATATTAATCAGGCATTACATAAATCAGATATTCAGTGCTAATTTTCCTTTAAGCTTGATGCCAATTTTGGCAATATGTGTTTTTTTATAGGCTATCTATTAAATAGTTCAAACACCAAAACACACTAAATACAAATAAATTCAGATAACTACAGGTTTATTGAAAAATTTGAATGCTTCCATAAATTTGGGTAATTTAATGCTTAAACGTGATATAGTAATTTTTGCTTCAATTTGGTTATATGGCTGGTGAAATTGATTGAATAATTAATAAATAAGGCACTAAATATTATCCAAACTAGATATTTAAAATTTCTAAATTTTCCTTCAGCTATGATGTTTATTTTCACAATTTTTTCTTATTTTACTAATAATCCCCCGCCCCTAAACTTTCTACCATACAGAATAAGGCAATAAAATTTACTAATAAAGGTTTGGTATAAGTAACATTTTCATTTTTTTTATAATTGGTTTGTTGTGATTCTCAAAATTGATTAAGGAATTAATAAGTGCAAGTCAAGTACTACATAATAGTGCATACCAGATATTTTGATTTTATATATTTCTAACAAGCATGATACTATTAACAATTTTTTCAAAAATTTTTGGAATAAATGCTTTTAGTTGCTTTTAAATGGTAAGGTTAGTCAAAAATATGTTACTAATAATTTTTCTTTATACTGGCTAATAGTGTTGCTAAACGGCCCAGTTTGGGTCAATTTTTTAAAAATGGCCCTATTAAGACTTTAGCCAAAATAATTATGTAAACCTCAATATTTGACATATAAAGGTTCAAACCTTTCTATCATCTATGACCAAAATCTCCAGGCTAATATAATATTTTTTTTACTGAAATCTTTCAGGCCATAATAAAATAAAATCAAACCAAATTGGACTGTTTAACAACACTACTAGATATTATATTGGTTATAGCATCATAGAAACTAATAAAGTACAAAACATTGGTATATTTTAAAATTAGTATTCCAATTGTTCAGCCAACGTTAACAGATGATTTAAAGATATAATATATTTAAAAATACAAATAATTATGGCAAAATCAATAATCTGAATTTTTAATTGCAGTGACAGCTAAAGGCTGAGCAAATAAACATTTGTGGGGCAAAGTATCAAATTTTTTTATCAATAACCCTTGAAATCTTGGCCATGCCATTGAAACCCATGTGATCCAACCTAAAATGAGGTAAGGCATATTGTTAAAAATCTGAGCTAGGTATAAATTTAAAAAAATAGGCCTAGGTCTGGTCAATTTAAAAAAAAATTATATCAATTAAGTTTAGGTCAAAAATCCTATGCTGGGATTGGAAATGATTTTTTTAAAATCCATGCTGGCTTAGAATTTTAACCATTGCAGTTTATATACTTATGTAAAATCATAAGTTAAATCCAAAATTCATGTTTTATAATTGTGCATTTCTAACATTACACAAGAATTAAATACAACTTAAAACTAGTACTTGTATAGCACTAAGAGTATATAGAAGATGTGGATCATGGTTCTGACTAGATGCAAAACCACCATTAGAACATTCACATGATTTGATAAATGATATAACTTCTTGCTTTTTAATTGAGGAATGATTGTTATCTAATTTGCCTAAAAGTGCTAATGAGTTACAACACCAATATATGCCACTCATTCTCAAATATTCAGTCATAGCATTTATCTAAATTAGTTATATATATTAGCTAATTGGTACATATTATACATAATCCTCTTTATGACTATCCATAGACTCTATAAAACCAACATGTTTAACTTCATCAAAGTCTTTAGGATAACTTTCATTTAATTCAACATCGTTTATTAAAAAAGCCTTAAAAATAATGTTTAAATAAATTTTAAAATAAATTGACCATATGTAAAAATATAGTAGTGGAATATTCTATATTGTCATATAAATAATCGAATTGGAATTACGAAAGAGCGAAAAGCAAAAGAGCGAAAAAAAAATGATAAAAATGTTCCCATAATTTATAACTCCACTAATAAAGTCATGAATTCTATTAATAATTATTATTTTGATTGTTATATATGGTAAATATTAAGTATTTTTTAATGTTTAATATTAATTTTTTAAATATATAATAAAAATATTTTCTTAAAATTATTCTTAATATTATTTTGTTCTATATATTTTTAATCTAATCTATATCTTTTATCACTAACCTAAACATTTAATAAAGCAAGTGTTGTTTTAGTTTTTAAAATATTTCATTCTATTATGTTGAGAAAAATCTAGAATAAAAAAGACAGTATTAAATATATCTCTACATTCACTTTTTTGATAAGTGTCCCTATCAAAATAATAGGCTTTCGATTTTTTATATTTAGTGTTAAAGCCTTCTATATATATATAAACTAGCTATTTCTTTATTTAATAGTTTAGATTTTAGAATGATAAAAAATTTATAATAATTCTATATATTTAAAAAAGGTATTTTGAAAAACAATATACGCTAACTTGCGGATTGAATATTATTGAAATTATATAATTTTTTGTTTTTTTATAATATAATTGTATAATAATTTTAAATATATATTAATAGATTAGATGAAATATAAATTATATTTATAAAAATTTATAAACTTGAATATCTAATTGCCTCCGCCTAAAACTGGTTTTCAAATTATCAGCGACAGTTGGAATTTTCATGGTATTTATTTTCTCCATATTAAAAATTATCTCCATCCAACTTTTCGCTCTTTTGCTTTTTGCTCTTTCGTTCCCATAGCATCGAATTGCACCAAAATATAATTTGATATTAAACGTTTTATATATTTTTTTTTATCATTCATTCATTCATTCATTCAATTCACTAATATACTATGTAGTCCGCTGGCATCGCAAGGAGGAAGAGAGGGGTAAGAGGTGATCTATTAGTTCCGTTTCCGACAGAATTATGTTAGAGTAGTGAGGTCATGTATAAAGCAACAAAGAAATAATGTACCTTACGTCCGGATTAGAATATTTATAAAATTAATAATTTTTATGTTTTGGTAAAATATTACTTTAGAAATTAATGTTATGTCTGTACGGTTTGTCATGTTTCAGAGGTTCCTAAGATCCTTATAAATGTAAAATAGTTGGTTCTTCTTTGGTAAGTCAATATCGTGTGTCTCTATAAATCCTTGTTTGCACTAGGCTAAATAATGTGTCTCTATAAGTCCTTGCTTGTATTAAGCTAAAATCATGCTCGCAATCCTTAGTATTATCGTATAATTATGGTGAATGGTATTAGTTATCATTATTGTCATTATTCACCCTTAAATAGTTACTCCGGGAAAAAAAAACTTGAATGTAGTCCACTTCCTTCCAATGATTCCTGGTCTAGTTTAGGTGTTCCTTTAGGTGTTTTTGTTTTTTTATTTTTAGCTGTTCAGTCAAAATATATAGTGTGCAAAATAAGTGTAAAAAAATAAAATTTTATGATAAAAACTTCTAGTATTTAAGCAATAGCTAAATTGAGCATCTTTAATTAATTAATAAATATATATTTCAGAGTCATCATTAAATTTGGAGTCTATTGATGTATATATATATATCTAAATTTTATATTTACTAGAAAAAAGGTAAATTATTTCATTTTAAAAAAATCTTCAAGCTTTCCCTATTCATTAATCTCTTTCTCAAAAACTTTATTATAATTCTAAAAATTTATACCCTCTTCGACCTACCTCAATTTTCAAATTTTCTAATTCATTAAAATAATTTAAATCTTAATCTCCTTTTAATCATAACTCATGATTAAAAGTTTCACATCCATTTCCATGCAAGCTTGGTGGATTCATCGCTTCCCGTCTTAGCTAATTTTTATTTCGTCAGCTTTCACCCTATGCTTAACACTCTTGTTAGCCAAAGCCCTGACCATTTTGAGCAATTCCGTAGTCACAAACACACGAGTACCCTCTTCGTGTTTATAGAAAGATTGGAATATTCATTTAAGGCTTCGTCTCTTATCTAAAGTCGAGCCTTCACGATGAGGGAGATGATAGACTTACGCCAAATGGCGTATTAGCAAGAAATAAAAGCTATATTTTTTCTTATTTATACGCATTCGAATCGATAAAAAGTTACGAAGTGGTCAAGAAAATGGAAGTATAAATAATATCGTAAACGAAATTCAATTACCTCAGAATTTAAAATTAGTATTTAGAGTATTATATTCACAAAAAAGTACAGACCTTATTGTTAATAGTAAATTATATATTCTAAGGTATGATTATATCTATTGCCAGCTTTTCAGTAATATGTTATATATCATTTTTTGAATTTTGGCCACTCCAATAGTTGTTAATTTTTAAGGATATTTTTTGATATATAAAATAAAAATAAGATGACAATGAATTAGGAAATTTAGAATGATTGAGAAAAGAATATATATAAAGAAATATATTTTTAATTATATTGTATGTCTTATTTTAAAGGTTACTTTGAAAACATTAAAGTTTTTACCTTGTGATGTCTTATTCTATTAAATTGACACACAACAATCCTTAGCAAGCTTCAAATACAAACTTAGGATTTACAGTATATGAATTCACAGAAAGGTTAATTTTTTGAATATATCGACCTAAGTAAGACTTTATTTATTGCTAATAGCAGATTATATACTCTAAGGTATGATATCTATTGCCGTCTTTTCAGTAATGTTATATATCATTTTTTTAAATTTTGGTCACTGCCCTGAAAACTACGCGCCGCTATGCGCCTCCTATTAAAGAAGCTTAATTTAAATTATTTTATTTTAGAATCGTATTAAGCTTCATAAGATAAGGCAGAAAATGTTTTATTTTATTTTTTTTAAAAAATGGTAACATAATAAAATTTTTAAAAAATTATTTTGTAGAATCATATAGAGCCTATTAAAAGGTATTAAAAATGAATATTGTTCTATTTTTAAACTTTTTATAACCTAGTGGGCTTTTAAAAAAACAAAAAAAGCTTAATTCATAAAAAATTAAAGCATAATCGTATTAAGCTCATTAAAAGGAATCAAAAAATCTTAATATTAAGTTTATAAATTATTTATAACTTATTGAGATTTGGAAAAAACACTTAATTTTTTCTTTTTTTGACTAAACTACACCCCCTTACGCGCTATCGTTAAATATACATTATTTTTAAAAAATGAATACAGAATCAGGAATAACTTTACAAGGAGATTCAGAAAATGGTATTATATTTTTATATTTTTTTAAAAAAAAATTTATTATGAAAAATTTTACTTAACTACGAGCCCCCTATCAAAGAAGCTTATTTCATAAAAAATTAAAGCATAATCGTATTAAGCTCATTAAAAGGAATCAAAAAATGTTAATATTTAGTTTATAAATTATTTATAACTTATTGAGATTTGGAAAAAACACTTTATTTCTTCTTTTTTTGACTAAACTATGCACCCCCGTTAAATTTACATATTTTTAAAAATGAATACTGACATGTATAACTTTTTAAGGAGATTTATAAAATGGTACTATTAATTTATTTTAAAAAAATAATTAGAAATATCAAATTTTTTGTTAAAATATTATTATTTTGAATGGGAAACCCTGTATCTAGGGTACATCTTCCCTAAAATTTTATTTAAACATGTTAGCAATGCTTATTTTAGCCCGTTTACGTCAAAAAAATTCGAAAAACTTTAAAAACAACGATTATGACAATTGTCACTTATCTATGGTACATCTTCACTAAAATTTTATTTAAAAGTGTAGGCAATGCTTATTTTAGCCCATTTACGTCAAAAAAATTCGAAAAACTTTAAAAACAACGATTATGATAATTGTCACTTATCTATGGTACATCTTTACTAAAATTTTATTTAAACATGTTAGCCTTAGCAATATTTATTTTAACCCATTTATGCCAAAAAAATACGAAAAACTAAAACAACATATTCTTATTATAATTTTGTTCACATTAATCATTTTCCCAAAATTTAGCTATTTACCAGATTTTATAAAAAAAAACAAAAAAATTGAGCAGACCCAAAGAACCGACTAAGCGAGCCGACTACACGAGCCGACTAAGTGAGCCGACCAAATGAGCCGACCAATGCGGCTCATTTAGTCGACTCGAGTCAAAGTCGTTTTATCGACTAGAAACTAGGCTCGAGTCGCAGCTAAGTCGACTCGGCTTAGCCGTTTAACAACACTATTTATGACACCTAGAACCCTTGGACCCTACATTTTTAAAAAGGGTCCGGCTCCGGTTTCGTGTACAGCCAAAATACGAGGGTTCAGGGCACGGGTCCGGGTTCATATCCCTCTTTTAAACCATCCGCATCTGTTTATATTTTTTATAAGTTTTAAAAAATTTTCGCGTATCGAATACGAATAATAGTATTAGATATATATTATAGTGATCTGCATCAGGCCTAATTTTTCAAGCCCGGCCCGACCGGAAATTTTTTTATGAAGTTTAGCCCGGCTCGAACCGGAAATATTTTTAAAAAAATTTTGCCGGTCCGGCCAATCTAAGGCCCAACCCGGCCCGAATTTTCTTAAAAGATATTAGGCCCCGGCCCGGGCTGGCCCTACTTTTGCAGATCTCTAATATATTATATACTAATATAAAAAAAATTAAAACAATTTATACTAATTTTTTTTAAATTTTTAATAAACCATAGAGATTTTCATATATTCAGAATCACCATTAAATTTGCAGTGTAATTATGTTTAAGTATAAAATCTTTATTTTTTAATTTTTAAGAAATCATAGAAATTGATTGTTATATTGTGGAAATAATTTAAATAAAATCACTCGAGGTGATAATGAAATATTTTATGTAAAAGTTAAAATCGATTTAAATGTAAAAGTAAAAATCAATTTAAAGGTAAAAAAATGATTTGAAATAGATGTGTAACGATGAAATGTAAATAGATTATATTTGAAAGACATAACTGTAGGAT